AATTGTAAACCTATCCACGTTATTAGACACTCAGAGTAACGTACGTAATTTAAAGAGCGCATAAGTCCACTCAGGGTGAGCTGGACTGGAGGCAGATGGGTCCAATAAACACAGGACTTTGACCCAGGAGAGCAGTGTTCAAGGCTAACAAGCACAAGAACATCGGCTGCGGCGTTTGTGCCACCAAAGCCAGGATTTCTTTTGACGACATCTGCGACGTTTTCCTACTGCCAACCCCTTCATACTGCCGACCCCTTCTGCGCCAGGATACAATGCAGCAGGCTGCTCATTATAATGCTGGGGTTTTTGCCCAACCAGCAAAATATGACTAGGGGGTTGAGATCATGCAGTTTTCACATCAACCACAACCCCCCAAGTTTTTAAAAACGTAAACAACTTCGACAGCCTATTATTTATGGCTTTAAAGCTGGAGTTACCAAAACCGACAACACATCACATACCAATACATGACGAGCATGTATGTGTTGATTTTTTTTCATTTTGTATAAAAATCTTTTGGGGAAACAAGATACAATAAATATCAACTTCCCTCAAAATAACGACAACACTTGACAGGAAATCGGTGACATTAGGCAAACTCATACATAGATGAGTAGCCTCTTATACACAGACCGAAACCCTTTTGTGTTATAACTCATAAACTCGTCTGCTTCTGTTTATCTACTTCTTTATGATTAGATATGAGAAGTGACACCTATAACCAACATATTTCAGCTTATCTGAAAAAAACAAATAACACTGGTTTGGACAGTCAGCTCTGTCCTCTTTGCTTGTTGGAGTTGATCTTGATCATAGAGGTGCTCAGCTTTACAAGCAAGTAAAACATGAGTACCAGGATGTAGCTCTGGGTCTGGGTTCATAGCCTGGGAGGACCTCCAGGACCTTCAGCACCTCCTTAACCTGCCTTCCAGAAAGACCATTCCATCGGAGCAATGCGGGCAGGAGCTCCAGGTCCTCACTGCAGATTAGACAACAGAGTTAGTGAGATGCAGTTCCACGAATGGCCACTAGATGCTGACAGCAACAAACAAAAAAATCAAGTTTAAGAAGTCCAGAGAGGGTTTAAGTGAAATCAGAACTTCTGGACTGAAAGGTAAGAAAACTAATGCTGCAAATTATTAAAAGGTCCAGCTCAAAAACACAGCCTCACTCTGTCACGAGTCCACCCTCATAAAGACCATCTTTCACCTTGTATTTGTTTGCTGTCTGTTTACTGATTTTTTGGACTTGATTAAAGATGCTGGACGTTCAGTTTACCAATTAACCTAGTCCCGCCCTCAATCGCAATGAGCCAATCACGTTAGATTAGCCATTAACGTTAGACCACAACATCAACTCAACGTGAATAAGATTAACAATGATGTCTACATCTGTTCTAAGGTCAGTCAACATCGTGTTTGAGGCAACATATTGTCACTTTGTTGGAAAGAAATATAAAGTTATCTTTAACATCTCTAGCTAACATTAGCTAAAGTTAGCCTAACGTTAGCTCTTAGCTGTGTTGTTCATCATGTCACCTTGTTTGCTGGGAGTTCATTAGCCTATTTTGTTCTAGTTTTGTACTTTGGTGATCGTACATCATTGTTAGCTGTTGTCCAAAGGGCTCTAGTTAAGCTAACGTTAACTTCTGGAGCTTAGCTTCATTAACTTATCTGTAATGGCAGAGATAACAAAGGTTGGCAAACGTTATGCTGAATGATTCAGTGTAAATACTGTAGCACCAAACTAACGGAGAGACACTCTTGGTAAAGATGGTAA